AAAATTATTTGATTTTTCCATTTTTCTATTTCTTGATTCATCTAGATTCCGATGTAACGATTTATTGAGATTTCGATCTTTCGATTTTTTGATTTTTCAATTTCTCGATTTTTCAATTTTTCAATTTTCCGATTTATTGATTTTTTAGTTTTAAATTTTATAATTTTCCAATTTTTAACTTTTCGATTTCTCAATTTTGGCCAATTTCGGTTTCTCAATTTTGCGATTTCTCGACTTCTCGACTCCTCCATTTCTCTCTTTCTTGATTTTTCCATTTTTCGTTTTCTCCATTTTTCGATTTTTCGTCATTTCAGTTTTGGAATTTTTCAATTTCCCTATTTTTCAGTTAAGCAATTATTGAATTTTCCGATTTGTAAATTTTTTCGATTTTTTGAATTTTGGGTTATCGATTTCTCGGTTTTTCGATTTTTCGCCTTTTCAATTTTTTGATTTTTAACTTTTGAATTTCTTGATATTTAATTTTTCAATTTCTCGATCATCCAGTGTTACAGTTTTTCGACGATTCTATAATTTTTCGATTTTTATATTTTTGGATTTTTTAATTTTTCGATTCTATTTGTATTTTTTTGTCTCCAGTTTTTGGATTTATTACATTTTTTAATTTCTCGATTTTTTGTTTATCACCATTACAATTTTTCGCTTCTTCAGTTCTTCGATTTTGCAATTTCTCGTTTTTTCATTTTCTCGATTTTTTTATTTTTTCCCATTTTTAGTTCCTCGATTTTTCAACTTTTTTAATGAAAAAAATGGAAAAATTGCAAAGTTGTACAACTGAAAAATTAAAAATGAAAAAACGAAAAAATGTAAAATGAAAACTTTGAAAAAACTAAAAATTAGAAACCAAAAATTTGAATAATTGAAGAATCGAAAAATTAAAAAATCGAAAGATTAAAAATTGAAACACTTAAAAATCGAAAAAACGAAATATTGTAAAATCGAAAAATAGAAAATTAATGACATCGGAAAATCAAATAAATCACAAAATTGCAAAATTGAAAAATTTCAGAATGTGAAAATCGATAATCAAAATTTAAAAAATCGAAAAAATTGAAAAATCGGAAAATTCAATTATTGCAAAACTAAAAAATCAAGAAATTGAAAAATTCCAAAACTGAAAAATTGAATAAACGAAAAATTATTCGGGTTTAGATTTTTCGGTTTTAAATATTTCGATTGTTCAATTTTTCTATAATTTCTCGAATTATCTAGATTCCGATTGATTTTTCAATGTTAAATTTTTAATTTTTCCGATTTTTAACTTTTCGATTTATCACTTTTCGCCAATTTCGGTTTCTCAGTTTTTCGATTTCTCGACTCTTCCATTTCTCTATTTCTCGATTTTTTGATGTTTGGATTTCTTCACGTTTAAATTTTTGAATGTTTCGATTTTTCGATTTTCCAGTTTTTCGATTTTTCCACTTCTCGTTCTCCCAATTTTTCGTCATTTCAGTTCGAAAGATTAAAAATTGAAACACTTAAAAATCGAAAAAACGAAATATTGTAAAATCGAAAAATAGAGAATTAATGACATCGGAGAATCAAATAAATCACAAAATTGCAAAATTGAAAAATTTCAGAATGTGAAAATCGATAATCAAAATTTAAAAAATCGAAAAAATTGAAAAATCGGAAAATTCAATAATAATTGCAAAACTAAAAAATCAAGAAATTGAAAAATTCCAAAACTGAAAAATTGGATAAACGAAAAATTATTCGGGTTTAGATTTTTCAGTTTTTAAATATTTCGATTGTTCAATTTTTCTATAATTTCTCGAATTATCTAGATTCCGATTGATTTTTCAATGTTAAATTTTTAAATTTTCCAATTTTTAACTTTTCGATTTATCACTTTTCGCCAATTTCGGTTTCTCAGTTTTTCGATTTCTCGACTTCTCGACTCTTCCATTTCTCTATTTCTCGATTTTTTGATGTTTGGATTTCCCCACGTTTAAATTTTTGAATGTTTCGATTTTTCGATTTTCCAGTTTTTCGATTTTTCGACTTTTCGATTTTTCAATTTTTTTTATGTTTCTTCAATTTTTCGCTTTTCTAGTTTTCAACTTTTTAAATTTTCGATTTCTCGATTTTTCAATTTCTTGATTTTTCTATTTTTTCCGATTTTTAGTTTCTCGATTTTTAATTTAACGAAAAAGCATAAAATGAAAACTTTGAACAAACTAAAAGATAGAAACCAAGGACTCGAAAAATTGAAGAAATAAAAAATTGAAAAATCGAAAAAATTGAAAAAAATGTTTGGATTTCCCCACGTTTAAATTTTTGAATGTTTCGATTTTTCGAATTTCCAGTTTTTCGATTTTTCGACTTCTCGTTCTCCCAATTTTTCGTCATTTCAGTTTTGGAATTTTTCAATGTCTCCTATTTTTGAATTTTTAGATTATCGATTTCTCCGTTTTACGATTTTTCGACTTTTCGATTTTTCAATTTTTCGATTTCTTTTATGTTTCTTCAATTTTTCGCTTTTCTAGTTTTCAACTTTTTATATTTTCGATTTCTCGATTTTTCAATTTCTTGATTTTTTTATTTTTTCCGATTTTTAGTTTCTCGACATTTAATTTAACGAAAAAGCATAAAATGAAAACTTTGAACAAACTAAAAATTAGAAACCAAGGACTTGAAAAATTGAAGAAATAAAAAATTGAAAAATCGAAAGATTAAAAACTGAAACACTTAAAAAACGAAAAAACAAAGTAATGTACAATCGAAATATTGAAAATTAATGAAATTGAAAAATTTAAAAATTGGAAAATAGAGGGACTGGTAAATCATTGATTGAAAATTTCAAAAATTGAATAAACAAAAAATTATTGGGTTTTAGAATTTTCGGTTATTTAAATTTTTCGATTTTTCAATTTTTCTATAATTTCTCGAATTATCTACATTCCGATGTCACGATTTATCGAGATTTCGGTGTTTCGATTTTTCATTTTTCAATTTTTTGATTTATTGATTTTTCAATTTTAAATTTTCCAAACTTTTTGTTGTATCGATTTTGACCAATTTGGGTTCCTCAGTTTTTCAATTTCTCGATTTCTCGATTTTTCAATTTTTTGTTTCTTCAATTTTTCGCTATTTTAATTTTTCAACTTTTTAAATTTCCCATGTTTCGATTCCTGAATGTCTTTTTTAATTTTTCAATTTTAGAATTTTTGATGTTTCGATTTCTTGACTTCTGAATTTTAAGATTTTTAAAATATTTCAACTTTGGATTTGGATTTCTGGATTTTTCAACATTTCAATTGTGGGAACTTTTCATTTTTTTATTTTTTCAATTTTTTGAATACATACTTTATTTTTTTTAAATCACGATTTTTCAATTTTTCTATAATTTCACTGTTTATCTAGATTCGGATATTACGATTTATAGAGATTTCGATGTTTCGATTTCTTGATTTTTCAATTTTAAATTTTTAAATTTTTCAATTTTTAACTTTTCAATTTATCGATTTTCGCCAATTTCGATTTCTTAGCTTTTCGATTTCTCGACTTTTCGACTCTTCCATTCCTCTCTTTCTCGATTTTTTGCTGTTTGGATTTTCCGATCTTTTACTTTTTGAATGTTTTAATGTTTCGATTTTTCAATTTCTCGTTTTTTCGATTTTTCGAGTTTTCAACTTTTCGATTTCCCAGTTTTTCGTCATTTCAGTTTCAATTTTTCGATTTTTCAGTTTTTAAGTTATTGAAGTTTTCAATTCAATTTTTTCAATTTTTTCGATTTTTTGAATTTTGGATTATTATCGATTTCTCGGTTTTTTGAATTTTCAATTTTGCAATTTTTCGACTTTTAAATTTTAGATTTTTGAATTTTTCAGTTTTTCTATTTTTTTGATGTTTCGATTTCTCGATTTTTCAAATTTTTGATTCTTCAATTTTTCGCTCTTTTATTTTTTCAACTTTTAAATTTTAGGTTTTTCGATTTCTCGATTTTTCGAATTTTCGGTTCTTGGTTATTTATCTTTTTCAATTTTTCGATTTTTTAAATTTGACATTTTACAATTTTTCAATTTTTCGATTTTAGGATTTTTGAAGATTCGATTTCTTGACATCTGAGCTTTGAGTTTTTTCAAATATTTTAACTTTGGATTTGGATTTCTCAATTTTTCAAGTTTTCGATTCCTCGATTTCAAGCGTGGGAACTTTTCAATTTTTTTTCGATTTTCGATATTTCGTTTGCTCGATAATTCGGTTTTGAGATTTTTGAATCTCGATTTTTCGACTTTTCAATTTTTTGCCTTCTCTTCGTATCTGGTCAAACGCTTTTACCAAGTCTGTAAACTCTTTCTTCTAGTTTATCAATTTTTATCTGACTTAGCAGATTATAAATATTAGTTCTTGTATGTCTTCTCTACTGGTTTCAAACTTTTCTTTTATTCTTCTTTCCATTATTCTTGCCAAGGATTTTCCGGGAATACTCGATAATGTGATACCGCTATATTTATTGGAAATTAAAAAATCGTAAAGTTAAAAAACCGAAACACTGAAGAATGGGAAAATTGAAAAAAAGAAGAAAACGAAAAAAGCCGAATATACATATAAAATTTGACAACAATCGTTCCAGTAGTTTCGGAGATTATCTGTCTAATATAAATTAGGATAGACGGCAAACAGACAGAGAGACGGAAGCAGGAAACCTATTTTTCGTACTCTTGGAGCCATGAAACGTCGAGAAAACATAAAAGTAGTCGTCCAATGGACTTGATTACAATACTTCCTTAGCTTACGCTCAGAAAGTAAATAGTATATTCAAACAGACATTACAATTTAATTACGATCTAACCTTTACCTTTTTAATCTACAGAAAGTTCATTCCGGGTTATTTTGTCAGGGCTTTTTTGACGGTTACGTTAAATTTCAATTTGCCTTAAGCTCTTCCATATTGTCAAAAACAATATACTCTCACGTTGAAATAGTTTAATAGTAATAATAATAATTTAACCCACATTTTGTCCTTGTTGTTACAGACCTCTGACGATCACAAACACTCAGACACCTCACTGGGCACCATCGAACTATCACTAACCTACGACCCCATCACCACCACCCTTCTCTGTACCGTCTACCGTGCTAAGAACCTCATCCCCATGGACATCAACGGTCTCTCCGACCCCTTCTGCAAACTCAACATCCTACCGAACGCCAAAATGTCGACGCGCCTGCGAACGAAAACGGTCCACAAGACGCGAAATCCGGAATTCAACGAAAACTTGACTTTCTACGACATCACGGACACGGATTTGATGAAGAAGTCGCTGCATGTTCTGGTGGTGGACGACGATAAGTTCGGCCACGACTACATGGGAGAGACGCGAATTCCCTTGGCCAAGCTGAAGCAGCAGAATACCATCTATGTGACGGCTCCTTTGGAGGAGATGAGGCAGGAGCACAAGGGCCCGTTGCCGGCGCCTGAGCTGAATCAGTGGTTCGACGATTTGTGGTCCAGGGGTCAGATTTTGCTGTCGCTGGGGTACAGCACGAAGAGGAGGGCGCTGTTGGTGACGGTGTGCAGATGCGTCAATTTGCTGCCGATGGATAATAATGGGTTTTCGGATCCTTTCGTGAAACTGTAAGTAGTGATATCATTGGCCATATTCTTAGATCTACTACACTATTTAAAAGATTTTTTCTACACCCGTCTTAAAACATGACACTTTTAATACAACTTCAACACTAAAGGTAGACGTTTTTTTAATTAGGAAAAAAACTTGCGTTACTAAGGCAACATTTACTTTTAATCCTAGGATTTAAAAGTCTTTTAAATGCTAGAATCAAAAACAAATAATAATTAATCTCAAACCTTACACTATTCGATTTCCACCCTCCGTGTCTCTTGAGAGATATAATGTCACCTCCAGCATCTACAAGGAGAGTGGCAGACGTCCGACGTAAGCAATGTCCGCTATATTCATTGGGATTTTCCAATTTTAAAAATTTAGCTACTTCTCGTGGGACATCGCTAATCTTGTGAATCCCAACTCCTTGTCGCTGACACTTTCCATTTAGGTATTTAACGACAAATCGACGTTCATGAAAATTTTTTTCTCGAAGAGTTATATATTTCTGATTAATATTAAAATATTTTTCCCCCATAACGGTAAATGGTCTTGGCTTTTTAGTTTTCTTATGAGGAATCGTTACAAATAAACCTGATTTAATATTTTCAATATGGTCTATTCTTAATTCCACCAATTCCTGACAACGGCATGCGCCACTCACCCCGAAGATTACAACAAATTGAAGGACAACTTATAAAGTGTAATCATTTCATTAATTTCAGTTGTAAACTTAGTTTCGTAAATAAATATATTTCATCTGCAGCATGGCTTAAAAAATCTTCTATTTGGTTATTTGTTAAAACTCTTGATTTCTTTGACTTGTAACCTTCCGCTTGTTTCTTCAAAAACGCTCCTAGTTTTGAAAATATTTCTATATCTATGCCATTTTTTATTTTTAAACTCGCCTTTACCATCGAATATTGCGACCATAGTGTGGATGATTTCATTGTTTTTGCCAAATCGGCAAAATACACCAGCAACACGTGCTCGGAAAAGGTTTCAATGTTTTTTTCTTTACACCATCTCATGAAGCGTTTGCAGCAAACTCATAGATTTCACGCAATTTGGTCGGAAGTACGTCTGCAATCTCTATTTGAGCCTTTTCGGTTACATCTGGAGGCAAATCTTCTTCAACATTCATTTTTGGCGAAAAATGAATAAATTTTTGATACTTTTTGAAAATCAATGACAACGTAAATAAAAAATAAGTAATCATGACTACGTACAACGTACATTCAAGACTACTGATTCCATTTCCGTTACAATTTTTTTTTTAATTTAATTATTTCCTATTTTAGTGTTACATTACTGGCTGAAGAAAAAAAATCGCAAAAAACATCACTTTTAATCCTAATAAAACAATGCACTATTTTCACTGACCCACTGAAAACGTTCTAACGAAAATAGTCCATCATTGGACTAGGGTCGCTAAAAAGTATGGAAATAGTTGAATTTCGCGACAACGGGTTGTTGAATCCTATTGAAATTTGGGCTTTCCCTAGGAATACTCAAGTTCTATTTTCTGCAATTTTTTCAAATTTTATACATAATTCATTTGTTTTTGAGATGCAGGGCTAACTTAATTTCTTTTAAATAGCAATAGTAATCAAATGTTAGTAGTCTTGGCGTAAGATACTTTATTCAAAAATTATATTAGTGCCCTATTATAGTGAAAATGATAGAACTGAGGGTACATAAACTGAAATAAATTGCCAGAGTAACAGACTGATTTAAATGCTATTTCCAAATAATTAAAATAATCTTCTATTTCTTTTTCTTAATATATATTTATAACTTTCTTTCAACAACACGATGCTTAAAATATGGTTCAGGTGGCATTTTTTTGTAGAGAAATATGAACTAGCCATTAAGCTCCGCCTCCCGTCTCACGACGAATAAAAACATGAATTACAATTTAAAGAGGGTGGGTGGGTGGGTGGGGCTTAGCCATTGACTTTCTTTTCTTAATATACATATTCCCCTTCCAACAATAAAATACTTAATTTGAATTTGAATTTGAGGTTAGAATTATGTGATCTTGAAAAAAAAAACTATATATTGTAACCTACTTACAGGATTTCAAATAAATGCTACTGTATTGTTACCTCACGAAGTGGGTTTCATCCCGAGCCCAATAAAACTACGTTTACAACAAATTATATTATTAAAGGTATTACATACGATAAGCCAATCACTGTTAAAATATGCGGAAGGGCACCTCTTCTCTCCCCAGCGTAGGCGGCGGAGGCTCCTGACTCTTCCTTCGGTTCTCAGGTCCCGTCTCTTCCCGAAAATCTTCCTTGAAAAGCCCCTCAACTTGATTCTCTTCCTCCCGAGCTCCTCACTCGCTCCCGCCCCGCTATCTCCCTCTCTGTTCTTATCTCTCTTTTTCTCCCCGTTTCTTCCCGTAGCTCACACCAACACTACGCGTGATAGATGCGCCACCACTTCGAATGCAAATCAATTCAAAATTAAATAAAAATCCGTTACAATATTAAGAAAAAGAAGCCAATGATTAGCCCCGCCCACCCGCCCCTATCTTAATTGTGATGAATTTTTCAAATGTTGTCAGTCCGAAGGACGAAGCTTAATACAAAATGTATCATTTTAAACATATTCTAAGTTTCTTGTTGCAAAAAGATGACCATACGTAATTACGTATATTAAGAAAAAACGAAGGCTCAATGTAAGCCATGCCCTCCGCCCCCATTTCATTTGTGGTGAATTTTTTTATTAATCGTGAGCCGGGGGAGCGGGGCTTAACTGAAAAATCCTTTCAATAATAAAATACTTAAAATATCAAATGGCAAATTTGAGGTTAGATTAATGTTTGAAGTGTCGTGTTGTTAAAAAAAAAACTCTATATATTAAGAAAAAGACGGCAATGATTAAGCCCGCCCGTGATGAATTTTTGTATTAGTCGTGAGCCTGGAGGGGCGGGGTTAACTGAAAAATCCTTTCAAAAAACTATATATTAAGAGAAAGAAGCCAAGGATTAGCCCCGCCCACCCGCCCTGTCCCAATTGTAATGAATTTTTCATTTGTTGTCAATTCGAAGGACGGACCTTAATTACAACATCCACATTTCTTTACAAAATTTACCATTTTAAACCTATTTAAAGTTTCTTGTTACGAAAAGATGACTATACGTATATTAGGAAAAACGAAGGCTCAATGTAAGCCACGCCCTCAGCCCCCATTTCATTTGTGGTGAATTTGTTTATTAGTCGAGAGCCTGAGGGGCGGGGCATAACTGAAAAATTCTTTCAACAATAAAATACTTAAGATATCAAATAGCGAATTTGAGGTTAGAATTATATTTGAAGTATCGTGTTCTTGAAAAAAAAACTATATATTAAGAAAAAGAAGCCAATGATTAAACCCCGCCCACCCGCCCCTGTATCAATTGTGATGAATTTTTCATTTGTTGTCAATTCGAAGGACGAACCTTAATCCACATTTCTTTACAAAATTTACCATTTTAAACATATTTTAAGTTTCTTGTTGCGAAACGGTGACAATATGTATATTAAGAAAAAACGAAGGCCCAATATAAGCCACGCCCTTTGCCCCCATTTCAATTGTGATGACTTGTTTATTAGTCGTGAGCCGAGGGGGCGAAGCTTAACTGAAAAATCCTTTCAATAATAAAGTAGTTAAAATATCAAATGGTGGATTTGAGGTTAGAATAATGTTTGAAGTATCGTGTTCTTGAAAAAAAAAACTATATATTAAGAAAAAGAAGCCAATGATTAAACCCCGCCCACCCGCCCCTGTCTCAATTGTGATGAATTTTTCATTTGTTGTCAATTCAAAGGACGAACCTTAATCCACATTTCTTTACAAAATTTACCATTTTAAACATATTTTAAGTTTCTTGTTGCGAAAAGGTGACAATATGTATATTAAGAAAAAACGAAGGCCCAATATAAGCCACGCCCTTTGCCCCCATTTCAATTGTGATGACTTGCTTTATTAGTCGTGAGCCGAGGGGGCGGAGCTTAACTGAAAAATCCTTTCAATAATAAAGTAGTTAAAATATCAAATGGTGGATTTGAGGTTAGAATAATGTTTCAAATGTCGTGTTCCTGAAAAAAAAAACTTTATATATCTATTAAGAAAAATTACAAAATCCACATTTCTCAAAAAAAATTTACCTTTTTAATATATTTTAGTTTTTGTTGCGAAAAGATGACTATACGCATATAGAAAAAAAAAGCCTCAATGCAAGCTCCGCCTCCATTTCGAATTAATTTTTTTATTAGTTTCAAGGGCGAAAGGGGGGCGGAGGTTAATTGAAAATCCTTATTTCTCTACAAAAAATCACCATATGGAACATGTTTTACGACTTTTAAGTATCGTGTTGTTGAATGAAAACCATATATATTAAGAAAAGAAGCGCATAATTAAATTATAATTTACACAATATTCTAGAAATAACAATCCTCCGAATTAAAGACTGTAAATAGTGAATATATTGATATGGAATCTGATACGAAAAGTTTAAATAAGATAATACACTATTAAAAAAAACATCAAATCAACATTTAAAAAACAATAATTTTACAATAAATGGTAGAAATGTTCTCCGTTTACTTCCTGGCATTAGGAAATACGTTGCACAAAGTTTTCAAATTAATCTGTTAGAATATTGGGAGGGATCTCGGCAATCGCATTTAATATCCCTTCTTGGATTTCTTCGATGCTTTGTAGTCTAATAACATAAACTCGATTTTTTACATAACCCCACAGAAACAAGTCAAGTGGGGTTAAATCGGGTCACCTAGCTGCTCCCTTTCGTCCTATCCACCTTCCAGGAAAAGTTTCATTCAAGTAATGCCGTACTTGACATCCGAAGTGAGGTGGTGCTCCATTTTGTTGGAACCAGATAGACCCTGCAGATAAATTTGGGTTTTCATAGTTGGGAAATATTTGTCCAAATCGAGGCATAGTACTTTGTTGCAAAAGTTGAATGTATTTGTCAGACGTTAAATTTCACCAAGCATTAATT